TAGTCCATCGGCACCTTTAAAAAAAGGCTTAACTGAAGAAACCTAGAGTGACTAAAAGATATGTCTATCTCATTTAAGAGTATTTGAATGTTCTGTATATATGCATGTTGATGCAAGATCCAGGAGCAAGCTTGACTCCAAATCAGTCAAGCGCACATTCATTGGATATGGTTCAGATGAGTTTGAGTACAAGTCCAAGATTACCAGAATCAGAAATTTATCAGAAACAAGGACGTCATATTCAACGAAATGGAGATGCACAAAAACTAGGTTAGAAATTGAGATAATCCATCTGCTACTTCTGAAGAATCAAGATATATGGAGATAGATAATACCGGTGATCAAGAAGATAGAGAAAGTAGTACTCAATCAAAAGAAGCATTGAAAGTTCCTCAGTCACCTGCCACAGATGTCAGAAGATCTAGCAGAGTGAAACAAGTCATACAAAGGTATTCTCTTTTTTTACACTATTTGTTGCTAACTGACAGTGACAAACTAGAGTGTTTTGAAGAGGTCACTCAATTTAAAGATTCAAGAGAGTGAGAGCTTGTCATGGATGAAGAAACGCAATCTTTGGAGTAAATCAAACTTGAGATTTGACAGTATTACCAAATAGCAAAAGAGCAATGCACAACAAGTGGGTCTATAGGCTGAAAGAGAAGTCATATGATAGCAAGCGCTACAAGGCAAGACTTATTGTGAAGGGTTTCCAGCAGAGAGAATGAGTGGATTACTTAGAGATCTTCTCCCCAGTGTTGAAGATGACTATTGTCAGGGTTGTGCTAAGTCTAATAGCAGTGGAAGATCTACATCTGAAGCAGATGGATGTAAAAATAGTTTTTTTATATAAAGATCTGGAAGAGGAACTGTACATGGTGCAACCACAAGATTATAAGATTTCAGACAAAGAAGGTTTGGTCTGCAAATTGAAGAAGATATACTATGGCTTGAAGTAGGTCCCGAGACAGTGGTACAAGAGGTTTGACAGGTTCATGTCAGACAGTGGTACGGAGATTTGTCATGTTCATTGTCAGACCACTGTTGTTTCATCAAAAATTTTGGTAATTGTTATATTTTGCATCTTTGGTATGTGAATGACAAGTTGATTGCAGAAGCAGATATGAAGAATTAAGGACTTGAAGAAACAGTTATCAAGTGAGTTCGAGATGAATGACTTAGGTCCAACTAGGAAGAACCTCAGAATGAGAATTAGCAGGGACAGGAAGCAATAACACTAAAGTTGTCTCAGGCATGTTGAGAAAATCCTAAAGAGGTTCAACATGAGTGATGTGAAATCAGTTAGCACTCCCTCAGTCACTTCAAACTATCTAAGTAACTATTGCCTAACTCTGAAGCAAAGCAAGCACAGATGGATTAAACTTCGTATGCTTCAGCAGTTGGAAGTTTGATGTACAAGATGATTTTTACCATGCAAGATATTGCATATGCAATGGGAATGGTCAGCAGGTACATGGGTAATCCAAGCATGCAGCATTGAGAGTCGATAAAGTGGATTATCAAGTATTGGAGGAACAGTCAACATAGCACTTTGTTATAGAAGTGCAGGAATCAGTTTACAGGGATTCATAGTTCAGATCTGGCGGAAAATGTGGACAGTAAGAGTAGTGCAACAGGGCATATCTTCAAATTGAGGAGCACAGCGGTGAGTTGGGTTTTCAGATTGCAGAAAATCGTTGTACTTTCTACTACGGAAGCCGAATATGTTGAAATTATTGATATTAGCAAGGAGATGATTTTGCTACAGAATTTCATGACATAATTGGGCAAGGAGCTGGGAATTGGAAGACTCTACAGTGACAGTATAAGTGTGTTTCATCTTGTTAATAACACAGCTTTTCATGTCAAGATAAAACACATCCAGCTTAAGTATCATTTCTTTCGATCTCTTCTAGAAGATGGGAAATTATTTCTAAAAAAATACAGACACCTAAGAATCCTGCGGATATGTTGACAAAGGTGGTGACTGTTGAGAAACTGGAGCTATATTTGGCTTCATATGGGTTTCATGAAGGTTGAGATGGGGGTGAACCACACCACTGTACGTGACCACAGCACATGACTATGAAGGCAATTCAGATGGAGGTGCAAGTACATAGAACTGGTGCTCAGTAAAACCAGTCTCGAAGTTAGGGATTGTTATGAGTGGAGACTGATTTAGTGAGCAGAAAGACAGCACCCGACGCCTATGCGCCATGTTGTAAATGCATAAGCGCCCACTTGAGTACTGTTCGAATAGAAAAGTCGAAGCTTATGCATCAGCTTTGGGCGCATATGCGCCCATATATGCGCTTGTTTCCCGAGAGCATGACGCATAGGCTCCAAGTTCGGGCTTCTAAGCGCAGGAGAAGTTAGTGCTGGGAATTGGTTTTTAATCTCGATTTCGAACTGCGTAAGATAGAGTTTGGTGTATCTTCCTTCGGTATTCTTCGGCGAGCATACCGATGAAGGTGAGGAGTGTCGAAGAGGTGGAATTCAGTGATTTGAAGTGATTTTGGAGAGGGAAGTTTATGGAGCGAGCCCTGTAAGTTCTCTGTGTGAAGCAAGTGAGTTCTTTGTAAAACCTTCAAAATTTTATAGTGAAAATTTATGGTGGTATGGCTCCGTGATTTTTTTCCAAGTAAATTCTCGTGTGCTTTTCTGGTTATTTTGATTGTGCTTCTGTTTTAATTTTTATTTCGATTTTTTATCAAATTGGTGTAATCTCATTATTCCACGATGTGGTTTAGTTTCTAATTGATCCTAATCCCTGGTAGAGTTGGAAATCCTATCAGCTCAGTCATCTCCTCCTCCCTCGCCACCTTGGGAGTTCCTTGATGATTTAGGCCATGGCCCTCAACATGAGGTAGGTTCTCCTCGCCCATCCTCTGATCCATAATAGTCACATCCTCCAAATGATCAGCACCAATATCTGATGAAAATGAATCGATCGTCAGGACCTCTATGGTTGCACCAAAGAAAAAAGTATAGGTACTTAATGTTGTCGAGTTAAAACTCCATTCTAACAACTCAATTCCATTCAGACGTGGTGATAGAGATAGCGCCTTAACCAGTTTTTCTTGGTTCTCCACCCACAAGGAGGTCATCCCTCGATGGCTAGACCGAGGATTCTCCCCCCATCATCGCTTTATCCAAGCAAGCCTAAGAGTTTGTTGACTCCGCAAAAGTTTTGACAAATATCTTCTTCCCACCAGCGGGATCGTCCACCTTCGACGAATGTCCAATAGAACGAACGCGAGACTGACCCTCGATTCGCTCCGGGACTTGTTCTTACAAGAGAATCGAAGGACCCAATCTGATCCTCGCGGTCGTCATCTTTTGATTTCTTGACAGTCCTTTTCTTGCTTGTTTCCCCTACAAGAGCTTCCTTAACCGGTTTTCGCTTCACGTCTAATTTCCAGGCTTTAGCCCGCATACCTCCAAGGGCCTTGAGGAGTGCATCCTTGTTAGTAGCCGAGGTTCTCTCACCAGACATCATTGCAGACTTAGGCAGCAGAGAAAGGGGATCAAATATGGAAGGAGAGAAAACCGCATGCAAACTGCTGCCGGTCTATGGCTTATTTATAGTAGCGTGGCCATGAAAGTCTAGAGAAATCATTTATTAAGTAATTATGTCATTCAATTTGTACTTGTATTTTTGTATGTAAGAGATTACCTTGTTCTTATTTGCATCACAGCTATCAAGAAGCAAGAGAATTGAGGAACTAAATATGCATACAAAAAATACAACGACACGAATCTCAAAGCAATCCAACGATCTGGCTAAAGGATGATCATTGGAAGATCAAGCGACCAACTAACAACACAACATGAATACGACGATCAGAGAAGAATGGACAATCGGTGGAGGATCGGCCGATCAGTCCTTCAAGGAATTATCAGATCGGAGCAACCCCAGGGTCAGAAGGTCATCCAAAGGCAGGCCAGACCGTCGGTTCGCCTTGAGATATGGTCGATCAAGTAGTGGCATCACTATGGATTGACTGTCGGTGTAATAACTCAAAGGAAAGCGATTGACTCAGATTAAATGATCACCAAACCTAGTGTCATTCGAATAATTTCACTTGTTTGGCTATTATATTTCTCCTATAATTTACAAAAGAAACCCCTCAGAATTTAGTGATTAGAGGGCAAGTTTGTAATTGTAACATTCATGTTCCTATGTCTATAAATAGGGATCACTTTACAATAAAAAGGTTATATTTTTCTACTGTTCACTACTAGTTTCCTCTCTTAGCTCCGCTCAACGCTATGCTCTATTCCTTGGGTGTGATTCCTGGACTCTTTTGGATTTAATATTTACATACATGGGACATATTTTGTCAAAAACTTATGCATGCACGAGATACATAATCAATCAAAGCAAGGATAAAGAAATTCATTTGATGATAAAAATAAGGTAAGCATCAATAATAAACATTGTAACCAACTTTAAATGATAAATTCTTAACAAGCAATTGTAAAGAAAACGTAGCATGTATTAACATTAGGATGTTGACTCGTGTAAATATGAAACTGGCTTCTAGTAGATTTAGTCACACCAGAAAGTAATACACAGTTATATCATATTTTTTTCAAGTTTTTTCTCCGTGTGAGTAAATATTTAGTAATGCATTGTATAGATGGCACTTGCAACCATTTTTTAAAATAAATTAATTTTTTGTTGGTTTGAGAACCTTGCACATAAATCTATCATATTCGGTTGACCTATCATTCTATATTATGTATTATGCATGAGGCTAAAAGAAATGGACCACAATTTTCAAAAGGACCCGGTTAATAAATGAATTGCACATCTAGAAAAAGACTTCATTGCATTTAGGAAAATTAAAAAAAATTAAAGAAAGAAACTAAGTGCGAGGTAATGTCAATTAAAGATAATGTTCATGAATAACAAACATAAACGTAGGCAAGGCGTCTAATAAGAAAAAAGAAACACTAAAAATCTGTTGTAAAAGAAAATCAAAGATGAAACTTCTCACCTTGGCAGAAGATTGAATCTCCCTTGCAGTCATATCCAACGCAATAGCATAACCTGATTTGTTAGAAAGCCAAAAAACAAAACCAACTCAATTGAGAATTATGAAAATGTCATATTATAGCTAGCTATGACTCCACAAAATGGACTATATTATCGAATTGATACAAGAAAACTTTATTTGGTTTAACCCTTTCATCAAAAGAAATTGCAGGCCAAGTTCTGCAGCAATCATACTAAAAGGCTTAAAAATTCTAAAATGTTTCTATGAAATTTGAACACCTATTATTGAAACAAAAATGTTCAGTCAGTGAATGTACACAGCCAACATATGGCATCCATAATGTACTAATTCATCAGGGAATAAATTGCAAGATTAAATTTAATGATTTTATCGAACCAAAGAGTACCTCATGTGTAGAATTTGTTAATCAGATCAGCCCATTTAGTAGAATTAATCCAAAGGATTCAGAATTTATCTGAAAGGATCCAAACTGTCCAAGATTGATCTTCCACTCGGCAGGCATTTATATATAAAGATGAGCATAAACATATTAACTTGAAAAAAAGTAAAATAAAATATATATTAAATTAAAAGTATATTATAGAAATTAGAAATTTAGAATTAGGTTAAATTTAAAACCCTAAACTACAATGGCTGCAATTCTGCGAATAGAATAGAATTAGCTTAAATTTAAATTTGGTGGTATAAAATCCTGAAATAGGTTTGGCTCAGCCCTAACATTTCCTTTTGCTATTTTGCTTTCACCACCTCCTCCCTTTTGTCTCAAGCGACTATGAGCCTGCGAAGTGTGAAGTGCGAACTGTGAAGGTCACCAGGTCGGAAGTCCTCAACTCTCAAAACTTGAAAGGTGAAAAGCTCCAAATCTTTTAGGGCTTGTATTCTCTCTTGTTCTGTCGCCACTTTCATTTGGTTTAGTATCTTATTTTCGTCTTGAGAACGGAAGGAGCCAAAGCCAAAAATACCTAGGGTTTGTATTTTTCAGCTCTCTTTTCTTGCTTCTTATTTAATGATATCTTCTTCTCTCCTTAGTTCTTCCTATTTTTTGAGAGCCGAAAATACCTAGGGTTTTTGAAAACTAGTATTTTTGTAAATATTGTTCTACATAATTTAGGGGTGGTCTATTATTAATGCTGTTGAGTGTTGCTTGATATTATAGTAGTGATCTAATAATAGTGATCCCTTTAAACATGTTGATGTTTGATACTAATGCTTTAAAGAAGGATTTTTTTAGTTCAATAACTGCATCAACAGTATGAATTTTGACAGCCCTATTTCCTGTTTTTCACAGCGTTGCTTCTATATTTTTACTATTACTAATTTGAAAAAAAAAAATCTCAAACCTTTTTTGGGAAGTAAATTTTTTGGGAAGTAAATGCACATTTACTCTCCTTATGGAGATATAGAGTTATGGTATGAATCATATGTTTTTTGCCTACAAGATGTTATGCTCATAATGGTTTATCTTTGCTGACTATGGAAGTATGCAGTCTTAAATGTTTATGTTCTTTCATTTGAGTGGGCATTTGTGGCTTTTGTGCTTTCTGAAATATATTGAACGCCTCACCTAACATGTTGAGACTTGAGATGGCTGCCAAGATGAAGTTTGTGGTTACAATAAAGTGTCTTATCTGCAAAATTATTTTGTTTGTCAACAATGTCTAGGAGATGTTAATGACCTGAAAAAGAAATTTAAATCTCAAGATTGTTGATAGTTTTTAAAATTTTTTTGGTCATATCTTTACTACTTGTTTAGGCATTTGGAGCTTTATTATCTGATGGTTAAGTATCGAAAAATGTTTTATCTTTGTTGTTCAATAAGAAGGGATATGTTATTTGATAAAATGTTAACTCTTTTTCTCATTATGATTGGAAGGAATTGCCATAAAAGAATAAGCATTGTCTTACATGGTCATATTCAATTTTGATTACTATTATATGTCAAATAAGAAATTATGTTTTCTAGATAAAATGCTTCATGGTCCTCAAATCCAAAGTTATTCATGTGTTTCATAAGATTATGTCTATATGTTATAAAAATGTGCTTGAATGGTATGGTAGTTATGAAAAAGGCTTGAAGAAATTGGCAGAAATTTATTGAACTGAAAAGCTAAACTTATTGAAATTGTATTTCTTATAGTTATCAAGTTATGAAATCTTACAATAAGTAAAATGATATTTTGTTATTTGTTTTAGTCTAGACATATTTTTCATATGATCATGAATCTTTAATTGTTAGCTGCATATTGATAGGTTTTTAAAGTGTTGCATCTCCTCATACTATGTCTAAATTGAATCTTTCTCAAATGTAATCATCTTGCAATGAGCTAATAGTTGAATTTGGAAATAGTGCCAAAATCCAAATTTTGGGTCACAACAAGCAGAGTCGGAGATAGCTATTATTAAAAGTAGCAATAAAAAAGTCCCTACTACTTCTAAAAGGTGGTGGAAAAGGAAATCTACAGTATTGAAGTATTTTGTTCAGGCGACATTTACAATTAAAGAAGTACCAACTCCTTTTTTTGAAATGTCATGCTGTTAACAAGTCAAAAATTAGCACAACTTCCCAACTTCTAAGACACGTGAGGGAATGCGAAAAAAATAAAGTCCAGAGTAAGCAAATAGTTGACTTATCAGATAAGAGGCAAAAAATATTATATTGCATGTCATTTGATTCTGATGCAAACATTGAGATTCCTATATTTCATGATCCAAAGAATTAAGATCAACATAAAATCCAAGAAATAATGGCAAAGATGATCATTATGCATGAGCATCCTTTTATAATTGTTGTGCATTGGTGGTTTAATGTGTTATTGAAATCATTGAATCCTAATTATGAGAGGGTTTCAAGAAACACCACTAAAAATGATTGCATGAAGGTTCATGAATTTGAGAAACATAAGTTGAAAACTTATCCCAAGAATGTACATATAGTTTTCATAAATTTTGTTTGCTAGACTTTCAATCAGACGACGGGATATATGTGTCTAACTGTTCATTATTTTGATCAAGATTGGAAGTTAGAAAAGAAAATTATTTTATTGAGTTGGAGCCACCTCACATAGGTATATATATATGTGATGCAATTTGTGATTGTCTTATAGTCTAGAATCTTCAAAAAAAAGTATTTACTATCACTTTGGATAACGTTAGCAACAACGATGTCGTTACTAGCTTACTTAAATCTAATTTTCAATCCAAAGATAAGTTGCATTTTCAAGTGCATTTTTACCATGTAAGATGTTGTGCACACATCTTCAATTTGGCTTGAAAGAGATTCAAGATATAAATCATCTAATTAAGAAATCTATTAAATAACTAAAGAAATCACCGAAAATGTTGCAAAGGTTTGTTGAAGTTTCTAAGCAATTAGGAATTTCAACAGCAAAAGGTTTGTCTATTGATATACCAACACGATGGAATTTCACATACTTAACGTTTGAATCTACTCTTGTTTATTGAAATGTGTTCAAACATAATGCTGCTCGAGATAGCAATTACAAATGGTTACATTTAAATTCGGATTGGGAGAAGTGTGAGAAAATAAGAAAATTTCTTCATACTTTGAACATTGCGGAAAAAATGATTTATGTTACTAATTACCTGACTTTAAATATCTTTCTACCAACTGTTAAGCATATTGAGTAGCAGTTAATGGATGAATCTATTTCAACAGATGAGTACATTAAAAACATGGCTCTTGCTATGAAGATAATGTTTGATAAATATTTGGGGGCAGGTGGGGGGCAGGGGGAGTGCAACCTATTTATGTCTGTGGCAGCTGTGCTAGACCTTCGTTTGAAAAATGAACTTTAATCATTTCACATTTCTGAAGATATATTCATCAAATGAACTAGAACATAAAATTCAAGAGATTTAAATTGTTATTTGAGAAATATACAATGAATACATCTGATATTACCATATTTAGTTCAACAAGTGGCAAAGGATCTTCACACTTGCCAAATGACTTGAGTTTTTCATAGAATTTTGATTGTATGCTTGATTTCAATGATTTTGTTGTATCATCGAGCTATATTCAACCATCCAAGTCGGATTTGCAAATCTACCTTGAGGAGGGTATGTTTATGGTCAATAATGATCATTTTGATAGTCTTGAACGATGGAAGTTGAATACTCTCAAATATTCTTATTTGTTTAAAATGACCAAAGATATTTTGACAATTCTTATAACAGTTGTATCAGAATCCGCATTTAGTATTGGTGAGAGAGTTCTAGATGACAATAGGAGTTCTTTATCCACAAAAACAGTAAATGTGTTTATTTATGCATCTAGTGGGATACAATCTTCTACAAAAAATGTCAAAACTCCCTTGGTAATATCCCCTCTTATTAATTTTTTTTAGATTTTTTTTTTTTCTTATAACTAATTATGATAAATATTTTTATCAGCAAGAGATTCGGGAGGAAGAAAATCTGGATGTGAAACTGCTCAAATAAATATTTTGGAGGTCATTTCAAGAATTACACTATTATGGTTGCTTCACTTTCATGATGGAGTGTGGATGGAGTATGAAAAATGGATTTATTTTTAGCTATTTCAATATAGAACATTATATTGGAGTATTTTGCTCTTTAATTAACTATGTGGTTCAGTCAATAGAATACTAATTTTATTGTAATAATTTTAATTCTTTCTTGTTGCACATTTCATATGTTTGATGTTATGGTTAATAACTTTGCTTAAATGCTATAGCTACATGGGCATTTACACACAAAGCTTATACAATTTCAGTTCAGAGCATTTGTATAGATACCACAATTATCAATCATATTTGACGAAGCTTCATTTATCTTGGGTTTAACTTTCAGTTTCTAAACATTTTCCTTAAAGCTAATTATATGGGTGCATGAATGAGACGAAAATTTATTCATTCATGTCAGGCTTGTATTATTCTGAATTCTTTGTATTTACATATCTAACACCTAAAGTTTGCTGATGTTTGATAGGGATTACATACATACCACACATATTCTTTGTATTCGCATATCTAAAGTTTGAGTTCTATGTCAAACTTCAGGTGCAGCTAGTGCCATGAAATAGCTTAAATGTCATTCTTAAAAAAAAATTTTGTTGATTTGATGAGTTGAAAATTTATTCATTACAGGCTGTCACTGTTATATTAATGTTATTAATTTGTTGTAAAGTCATACTAGTAGAAAAGGGAAGAATAAGAAGGAAGAGGGAGTCAAAGGGTATACTTCACCTTTGAAACCATATTTGCTATATGAAATTCATGTCAGGCTTGTATTTTTTTGAATTCTTTGTATTTACATATCTAACACTCAAAATTTGTTGATGCCTAATAGGGTTTTGCATGCAAAACGCACGAATTTTTCATATTTACACATCTAACACCTAACGTTTAAGTTTTATGTCAAACTTTGGCGCGGCTGCTGCCATGAAGTATTGCTTAAATGCCATTCTCGAAATTTTTTTCTATTGATTGAGTATTCAGATTTGAGCATACTGTTTTGCCCATGGTCATTACTTAATATTCAAAATTTTCTGTTTGACACTTAATAATATTCAAATTATTGTGATTTTATATGAATTATCGAACTGGCTTATAAGTTACAAGTATTAGTAATATGGGCAACGATGTATAAATTTGTTACAAGATCTTTTATTATATTGGTGCTAACAAAATGATACTATACCCCTTAACCTTATGATTTATGAAGGCTTTAATACTGGTACTACTATTTATTAATAATTGTTTAGAGTTACCATTTCATTCTTCGGTTGTTGATGATTCTAGCCAAAAATTTGAATGACTTGTGGACTATTTGATTGAAATATTTGGTGTTAAATTTTTGTCTTATTTGTCATTCACTTGAGATGTTGGTAGCTCTAACCAAAAGTTTAATTGACTTATATATATGATAATTGAGAATCTTGGGTGTTAATTTTTTATATGTTTGTTTGTCAGTCATTTTGTTTAGATTTGGAGTTGTCAGTCATTTTGTTTAGATTTGGAGTTGCCTCCCTTCATTGCTTGCTGGTAGCATCTGTCCAGGATTGGTTTATGCACATTAATACTTTTGTTGCTTATTGATATTCTTCAAAATGGATAATTATGGCTGAAAGCCTGAAGCTGAACGCATCCCTAACAGAGTGTCACTTATATCCGGTTATATTTTGTCATATATATTTTATCATTAGTTCAAATGGTTGTTTAACTCATAGCAATGACAAAAATAGTTTTTGGACTGGCTAGTTCATTTTGAGAGGATATACTGAGAATACACAGTGAGTGAGTATAACTGAATTGAGCTTTTCTTTTATTTATCTTTCTTAAAAGTTAACACAATTCTTCGTTTTAAAATTATGATGCAGGATATAAGAGATTTTGCTCGTGATGCGTATGCTGGATTGGAAGTTTGGACTTTCAAGAAATGATCTTGATGAAATGTTTCAACTTTTAAGAAATGCAAGAGGCCAAAATGAATATTTTAATTGTGCTTTGTATTTTTTATTTTATTTTAGACTTTTAGTGTTGTGATTAGTTTTTTTTTTGTAATTAGTACTAACGCATTTTTTTATTTTTATTATACTTTTTGATGTAAAATTATGTGTAAATGTCATGTTTGCTTTCTAAAAATTGTAAACAATTTATTAAAGCAATAAATGTTTTTCATAATTTCATTATAGTTGTTTTTTTTATAATGTAAATTTTCTATTATTAATTTTTTTTATATTTTTTTTAATTCAAACAAGCCAATTTCGAGCCGAACACGAATACACTATTCACGGGTCAATTTCGAACACAAGCCAATTTCGAAAATGTTTTATTTCGAACGAGCCGAGCTTGAGCTCATTTACAACCCTATTCATAAATGTTGTACAAACATCGAAAAAGGTTCAGACAAATCGATGAATGTATCTATGTAACTACGATATTTAAATCTAAATGACTTTAACTAAACATGAGGATCTACCCAAGGATTTGGTTTTGGTAGATCCTCGGGGTGATCCAAGAGGAATATAAAGTCCTACTGAAGATAGCAAATCACCATCTTCTCAAACACTAAATTATCATAATACCCTCAGGATTCTAACTAAAACATATTTAATATCGACTCAATTGATCAGACAACAAGGCTAAGGACACAACTTTGATCTTTTTACCTCCCTTATGCACTAAATAAAAACCATAATCAAACCAATTTAATTACTTAAGCCACCTTACCTATGGGGTAAGGTGGTGAGACATTAATTTTTTCTGATCCTCAGAGTTATAAGTCTCACTTATTAGTCTTTCAGTGAATGTAAGCTGACTTATGGGTCTTCAAATAGATAAAAGCCCCAACTCAATCAACATGGTATGCTTAAAATCTACTAAGCCCATCAAATCAATTTAATTACACCCCTCACCTAACCTCTAGGGTATAGTCATAATACAAGTATTGGGTTTTTCTTTTCCCCATGACAACACTTACGGATCTTCCAATATATAGAAGTCCCGACACAATCAAAACTTGATTTAGCTCCCATGCTAATAAGAATGTCTCACTATCTTCTCCTCATGACCACCAGTGCATCCTTTATAATAAACTACCTACCTACTTCAAGGAGTACTAAGAGCTCCACACAAACCTAACTCACTAACATCTCCATCATGATCGGGGACACAAAAGCAAAAGATATGTGATTATTCAACTCGTCGGAGGAGAGTTATTCACAAACATATAAAATTGACGCACTGCACAAGCATCCAAAATATACTATTGTTAGTTTTAGTTTTAACATTATATGAGAAGTCATGAAAGGTTTCTTATTTAAAAATGATTCCATTAATGAAGAGTTTTCTTATTAGGGCAGTCCCTCTTAATGACTTTTTTATTTGTTTGTTTCCTTATTACTTTGAAGCTTGCTTTATAAATATGCAGCTAATGCAAAAAATTTTCAATAAATAATGGCATTAATGAATGATAATTTAAAGGACACAACACATTATACTCTCTTAGCATCTCTCTCGTGCTAATAAGCATAACTCACTATCTTCTCCTCCATCATGGCCATGAATACATCCTTAACACAACACTACCTATCTACTTCTGGAAGTACTAAGAGCTCTACACAAAACTACCTCACTATTGTCTCCATCATGAACACGGACATAAAGCAAAAAGATATGCACTTATTCAACTCTATAGGGGAGAGTTCTTCACAACCCTAGAAAATTAATGCCCGGCACAATCATTCAAAATCTATGATTGTTAGTTTTTGTTTTAATATTATATGAAAATTAACGAAAGCTTTCGTATTTAAAACGGACTCCATTAATGAATAATTTTCTTATTTAGGTAATCCCTCTTAATGACTTTTTTATTTGCTTGTTTCCTTATTAGTTTGAACCTTACTTTATAAACAGGCGGCTAATGTAAAATTTCTTCAAGGAACATGGCATTAATGAATGATAGTTCAAAGGGAGACTACACATTATAATCTCTTATCATCTCTCTCATTCAAGTGCACCCCCCTTCCTCCAGTACCCAATCCATTTCTCTCCCAATGAAGGCAGCATGAAGAACCAAACATTTCCGCTTTTGCACACTTTTACCCTCACTTCATTCAATTAACCGTAAAATAGCCTCAGCCATTTAAATCCTCAACCACCTCATTTCCTGCATTTTTTTCCTTCTATGCATTGGATTGTACATAAGCCCTCCCAAGCTTTCTTTTTCAAATGCAATTCAGGCTTACACATTTTTTTATTCATTCAAGAAAGTTCCATGCTGATTCATTCAAAAAATTCTCTAAAAATAGGTGCAATTTTCATAGTCCAAAGAAACTCCATTTATAAACCTCCAAAATTTGGGCCAAAAAAAGAAAAATGAATCAAAATTCAGCGCTTTTCAGAAGTAAGCATATTGACGGGGAAAAGAAAAGTACCACCAACAAAATCCATGGCCCCAGCTTCGGAAACATCGCGAGCCTTATGACCGATGACAACGGCGAGCTCGACCTCGTGATCAAGCGATTCCAGTGGGTGAGGGACCTCGATGGTGCCTCCGTTCTGAAGATAGGACGAGGTCGGCTTGAGGAATAGCACCGGCTCCTGCAAATCCCTCACCAGTAGCAAAATTGAGCAATTCGATGTGTAGGTTTAAGGGTGGGTGCGCCAGAGAGAGAGAGAGTTATCATTATACGGCTATGCCTAGGTTTATGGATTAATATAGAAGAACCTTGGGGACGGCATTGCCGAGCTCCTTGGCGTGGGCGGCATAGTTGCGGCCGACAGCGACGATCTTCGTTCCCAGATTCAGGAGAGTTTGGGAGGCCATTTGAGGAAATCCTACGTCTATCCTTCCTAGATAGCGGCTGAAGGAGCTTGTGGACCTCCGCTACTCCGCTCCACCCAATGCTTCTCAAATTTATTTACCATGTCCAGAAAATCTAGAGGGATTTACATACATACCACTAATTTTAATTAATTTTCATATCTAGCCTCTACAAATTTAATATTACATACAAATCACCCAATTATCCCCAATTTACACATAACTACTACTCTATTACATAATCTACATCAACCTGCCCTCCAACATATCGTTGCAATGGCGGCTCCACCATGAACATGAGTTATTTGGTAAGAGGATTTTAGTGAGAGGTACTGAATAAGAGAAGTTAAAGCTCACGAAGGAGGGTGGTACAAAGTGGGAGAAAAACAAGACTTACCTTCCTCAGTAGTTTCGGGTAGGAGTGGGGTGAAAGAAGATAATGTGGGAGTTTTGAGGGACTTTGAACCCTGCAATCATGTTGTTGCCCTCCAAACTTACCTACTGAAGGAGGAGAGAGGCAGGAACCTAAGAGGTTTTCTTAGGTTGTAATCCTGTCGTAGCTCTTTTTAATTGTAAATTTCATTTCTTCCTCTTTTTTTCTTTTAATATAGAAAACATTGAATAAAATTGGCTAGAGCATCCAATTGTTTCTCCAACCTTATTTAATTATTCTTTGACCTAACTAACTATTCTTCAAATTCTATGTAGTAACAAAAAGCTACTTTATCCCTTTGTAAAAAATAGCATGAAATGACGTTATAACTAAATATGTTTTCGTACCCTCCCTCACTTTGTTCTCAAAAATGATAATGCTTGTTTTCCTTTTTTATAACTCTAATTGGGATAAGGTGAGTAAAAGTGTATATAATAAAATTATACAAGTTATCCACATTAATTTTGTACATCAATATAGGAAGAATGAATATTTACAATAAATAACTTAAACAACACATGTGATTAATTTACATTAAGAACCTGTCACATAAATAAATAAAATTGTGCATAACATCTACATTTTTATCATTAATATTACTTATTAGCATATTGTTGTTCTTACAGGTTAATATCCTTGGTGTGCTCTCTCATGACTTGACGATCTCCTTTTCAACTCTGGAGATGGTTTCCAATGTTCAATAAATGGCATATTTATTTGTCATGTATCAAGTTGCAACATTCATTTTTTAGGCTTGTGGCCTCATAATGCTCAATGCTCCTCTTTAAGCCTCTTAGTTTCTCCTATTATATTAACTTGCTTTATTGGTATAACAAAATTCGTCTTCAATTTCAACGAAGCCCATCATTTCAAAAAATATAGTATTATATTTAGGAAGATTTACATATATATATACCACAGAAAACACATGTTCTTACGTATTTAACACCTAAACACATGATAATACTACACACAAACTACCCATTTTACTGAAAATAAATGCACGTACCAATGTTGTATCCCTCTCACAACATCATTCACTATGCTTCGTTAAACTAAATTGCTTGGTCTTCCCTCCAACAACTTGCTCTGCCATCATAGCATGTCCTCCCCCTCCGGTTAATGCTCCTCCTTCACTCCACCATTCCATCAATGCCACTATCCCTTAGCCTCCACTCTAGTAAACGGCGTTGATCGATAAGAGATCCACCTCTGACACTGTATCCTACACATATCGGCAAAAGAAGTTGGCATTCTCATCCTCAGCATTGCTCCTTTCGATATAAAATTTTGCTCGTATTTTGAGCCAATTGTTAGGAAGATTAACATACATACCAATCAATTCGTATGCATTTACATATATATCACCTAAACTGTAATTTTTACACACATGCCACAAATCCTATGCACGAAGAAGGTGCATTTAAGCTTATACAGATTGACAAAAGGAGTTGGTTTTCTCCTCCTTGATTTTTCTCCTTTTTGTGTAAATTTTAAACATGGAGATGGTTGGATTGAAGTGAAGAATCAAAGCAAGCAGAGATATGATGGAGGCAGACGGAAGAACATTAAATTTGAGAAAGAAAAACTTAATTTTTTTGTGCTTGAAGATAACTTGAGGTAATTTTCCCTTAGTTAGTAGGGCATAATTTTAAGTTGTTCATTCATATTAATGGGGCATCATAAAAACAATACAAGAAAACTGCAATTGATGTTAAGGAAGGGGCATGCAACTTACATCTCTGCATAAATTGAGATTGATTTTATGGGGAACTTTCTTAAGATGGTTCAACTAGTTGCAACACTTGAAATTAATCACGAGACTTTCACCAATTTAGAAGATGAATTTAATGAAGAATTTGGAAGCATGAAGTTGATTAGAAATAAACTTGATTCTCTATAGTTGTAGGTCTTTGAGTTAAAAATCAAGGTTCAATAAGTAGAAAATGAGAAAGGTAAAGTGAAGATGGTTTTAAGTGAGACTCAAAATCACCTCGATGCTTCATGCATTCAACTTTCTTTGGTTGGTGTTCGATTAACTAAAGTGCAACGAAATTTGAAATTTTCTAATGAATTAATGGAAACTGCAATGGCTAAAGCATTTGTCAACAACAACCAACTTGTCGGCACCGAATCGAAATTTGTCGGTTACTTTGAAAATGATTTAATTTAATACAAGCATAATTTTAATTTTGAAAATAGTAATTTGATTTTGAAAAATACAAGACCAAACTAATTTCATATATTTAATAGTTTAGACAATCGAGCGCAACACTACAAGTAATATACCATCCTAAGAGATAGACATACTACTTAACAGCAGACTTGATTATTTAAACTATGTAATTTATGATATACATTTGGTCTGCGAACCTTTTATATGTTGGCCAATAAATTTCTCTGTCTAATATAAGGATTACATAGGGTATATATTACTTGGATTCTAAAGTTTCTTATAAAGGCATGCCCCTATAGTTAATTATATCTTATATGATCAAAGTCACTAATGAAAACTCTCTAAAATAATTAGAGGTATTGGTCTTTAAGATTTCAACATTTAGGTTTTCAAGTTTAGGCATGGGGAAAACTGAGGGAAATAGCCAAATATGAGCAGTTATTTTTATAATCCAAAGAAACGGGAAGTAGGGGATGTCACAGATATAGAGGCAAGCCTTGGTGACTTTCAAAATTATTATATGATTTGGCTTTAATTTTGAAAGTGATATTATTTGATGTTTCATCCCACCAATTTTACTATTTATTGCTTACATTTACATGATTTCAATCATGTAAATAGCCTAGAACAATAAGAGGGTTTACGTTGTAGCGAACAACAATCTCGAAATTTTAAGGCTAGTTAGGGCTTATATTGCACAACATGGTTGTGCAAAAGCCTAAAGTCAAGGTGAATATTTATGTCATACTAGGCAGACAACCTCAAAATTTTATGGCTTGTTGTTGTTTATGGCTAAGGAAAGTTTAGTTGTAGTAGACTTGTTTGTTATTACAGATCGTTGAAAACCTCCACTTGTAACTCGCTCTAAGCTCCTCGTCAAGTGGCAGCTCTAAGGTTTAAAGTTCATGTATTATATTTTAATTTTGATTATTGTTAAGTCAATACATCTTATTATCATTATTAAAGGTTATGTATTTGTTTGTGTGTTATAGGGATCTATTCTAGGTAAACAAACTGCTATTTTTTATCCGAGAGGTCTAGAACGTATGTAAAGAAAATGTGTATAAGTAAAACATGGGGTAAAACACAGTAAAGAAAAGGAAACAAACTTTTGTAATGTGTACCTAGGCCTCTACTACAACTACAAAAGGGCTAGTATGATAAACATAGTTATGATAACATGCAGGGGATTAAGTAAATCATATAAGAATATGTTGCAAAGAATATCAAGTAAGTCACAAGAAGAACATGAGCGTGTAAAACAAAACACAGAGTCACATATGAAAGATCAAGATTGAGAGTAAGAAATTAGTAAAGGTGGGGGCCTTCATAGCTGAATTGTATGCTTTATCATTCAACTTTGATAAATGTTTCCAACCTAATAATCTAAGGAGGGCAATCCCTAACATCGATTCAAGTGATTAGCCCATGGAACGTTATGAATTTTCATCAAAATTCTTTTAATCCTTCATGCATGTAGAGTTTACTTGGCAGAAAAAGTATCATGTCACAAAAGGATTTTTTTGTTTTGTATTGTATGTATATAAGTATTTTTAACAAAATGAGATAGTCCACAAGCTAATCACCCTAATTAGGCTAGGATTATCTATAACCTTAGAATACTAGGGGCAACTTCCATCAAAAGTTGGTGAATAGTATCATCGATCGTATCCCCTCTCCTTATTGATGATCCTTCAAGTAGAAGATATTATTCCAAATCACACTTCGTATCCCACTCTTAGCATACATAAGCAATTTCATCATTACTCTCGCCACCTAGACCTCTGAATTAAACTCATTTGATGATCCATATGCGACATAAATAAATATCCACATTTGCTTTGAATACCTTATACAAGGCTCAAATCCTTGAGAAATGGGTTTAAATGTAGAATAAGTAGTGTTAGGGTATTTTATTGGAATTGTGAATTAAACTGTCTCGAATCATATCTTGATGGGTTCCTATAAATTTAGAGGATGATTTTTTTCAACATAGTATAATAGGTTCAAATGCTCTTTGAAACATTTAAAACTTTTCAAAGGTGTTATGAACATAACCCTGAACAGCTTTGGAATTTTTTGGATTATTTCCGGTTCGCTTCATTTTATTATCATGTTAAATTAATCAATCACAAATTAAGTAAAGGTTTAGTTATGATGTTCTAACATGTGCTCATTGAACTTTATTATTTTAATCAACCCATGAGTGGGGCATCTAGTTATATTTAAGGATTATAAATAACTACCCTTAAGGGTAAATTTAATCATTAAGGAAATTTTGTACCCTTTTTATTGGAATTCAGCTTGTAGTGTTTTAAAGATGTTTGTAATTGATTATATTTCCTTTCTAAACTTTATTAAATGATTTTAGATTAACCCTGGTTCACTACCAAGCTTTTAAAGGTTTAGGGGTAAAGTTGTAATTTTATAAAAAGTTTTATACTATGGTGTTTAATCCTCATTGAAAGATTGAATTGTAC